AAAAAATTCTACTAATGAGCAAAATAAAATATTAAACAAATCAACTAACAAAAGTGAGTGGAAAAAATATTAAAAGCAAAACTCTAAAGAAAAAAGAACTCTACTAACTACTAACACTAAAATGATAAACAACAAAGGCTCTACTAATAAGCAGAAAATAATATGTAAAATATTTAGAACAAAAGGACTGTACTGATAAACCAAAATAAATCACAAAAATAAAAAAAAATCTGGTGTATAAAATTCACTAAAAAAAGAAAAGAACTCTACTGACTATGTATAATATAATTACTTACATATTCCTTAAAACTTTACTATCACAGCCCTCCTCATCCTCCGCATCCCCATTAACCCGACTACTTTTCTCCTCCGTCGCCTTCGGCTTTTCATCCCTCTTCTTACAACTTTTGTTATCCAACCCTTTTTTAAACTCCAAAGAAACGGCTACGGAATCCGCATAGATCTCCTTCGGAAATCTACTATACAGTCTCAATTCAGTCTCTACGGTCTCGTCCTGCATCACAGTACAGGTATCGGGCAGCATTAATTTTAAAGATTTAATTGTAAAGACATCCGAAAGGTCGGACAGGATGTTCGATTGGGGTTGATCGCTGAGGGAAGTTGATTTTTTCGCTAGTAGTTGTTTTAGGGATTTTGTCATCTCTTCGAAGTAGAAATGACGGACTAGAATTTCCAGTTCTTGAGAGCTCGATATGGCGGCTGATACTCGGATGTACCTGGGGGTAGAGGAAATATGTGTTATTGGATAGAGCTTGTCGAGACGTTTCATTTGATACCCCACATGCCTATATTTGAAGTAAAACTTGTTAAGTTATGTCTTAAACGAAATTCGGCAACCCATTGGTCCACTTTCGTTACATCTCTTGTAACTTTTGAACAGTTTGTCCGAATTGAATGAAATATTCGGCAAAATTGTATTAAATTCAATGATCTATAGCTATAATATAGTCTAATATATTTATAACACTAGGGCAAAAATGATTTTGCAAATTATGGTTTGTTGAATTTATCCATATGATATTTAGACAGTGCTCGTCGATACCTTTCATTTGATACCCCACATGCCTATATTTGAAGTAAAACTTTCTGACTTATATCTTAAACCGAGTTCGGCAACCCATTGGTCGGCGTTTTATTATAATTCTTGTAACTTTTGAACGGTGTGTCTGAATTGAATGAAAAATTAGGCAAAATTGTGCTAAATCAAATGATCTATAATATGGTCTACTGTATTTATAAACTTAGATTTTGAGAATTAAATAAAAAACCCTATTAGTTTATTGAATTTATTTCTATTGTATTTGTATAGTACTTGTCGAGACCTATCATTTGATACCCCACAAGCCTATATTTGAAGCAAAACTTTTTAACTTTGATAATAAAAAGAACACTCTACTGACAAATATTAGAAGATTAAAAAGGGAATCTAATGAGTGACAAGGAAACTTATTTTTGTAATTTTGAGTATAAAAAGGACTCTACTGACGAGCAAATTAAATTAAACAAAACAACAAAAAATTGACTCTACTGACGGTCAAATTATATAGCAATATAAAATGTAAAAAATGGATTCTACTGTCGAGCAATTTAAAAGACAAAAAAGTGACTCTACTGACGGTTAAATTATATAGCACTATGGAACTCTACTGACGAACTAACTCCTTTTTGATCTAGAATAAAAAAGGAGACTTTACTGACGAGCAAATTAAAAAAGAAAAATGGACTCTACTAACGAGCAAACTCTTTTTTATTTTAGAATCTAAGAAAAGAGACTCTACTAAGACCAAATTGAAAAAGAAATCAACTAACAATTAAGCTCCCTTTGACCCAGAATTAAGAAAGGGACTCTACTGATCAAATTCAGGCACATTAAATTCCAAACTAAGATAGAAAAAAAGGACTGTACTGACGAGCAAACTCTTTTTTGACCTAGAATCTAAAAAAGGGACTCTACTGACAAGCAAATCAAATGTCAAATTAAAATAGAAAAAGGACTCTACTGACGAACTAAAATCTTTAAAAAGGGTTTCTACTAACGAGCGAACTCCTATTTTGAACCTAGAATCTAAAAAAGGGACTCTACTGACGAGCAACCTCCTTTTTGTCCTAGAATCTAAAAAGGGACTCTACTGACGAGCAAATTAAAATCATTCAATTACAACCATTTCTCCATCACAAAAAGAACTTTACTAACTAGCAAACTAAATATCGTCACAAAAACTGATAAAAAATTTAAAATAAAAATAAAAGTTAACACTACTGACGCGTGAACTAATTAAAACTAGGTGTAAGTGTCACATTATCTCAATCATCAGTAGAGTCCGAATAAAAATATAGTGCAAAAGAAACAAAGGACCGAATTCTGTCCGAACAAATTAAAGAATTATCTCTGGCAACACTAACTAGGCGTCAGTGGTATTGTGCCTTAAAAAAAGTTGCATATATATATATAATATATATATATATATATATATATACGAGGTCTGTTCAAAAAGTACCCGGAATTACTAATAATTAAATTTCGCGGGTCTGGAGTGTCTGATTGTCAAAATTTTTTTTTTATTGTGTTGGTATACATGCCCCTAAAGTATGATGAAATTTTCAGCTATATTCACTGTTTACTTTGTCTGTGGTAGTCGCTAAGGTTCCGACGTGTTTTTCTGAGCTCGGCGATTTTTACAATGGAAGAATTGAAAAGTCAAAGAATTTGTATTAAATTTTGCGTAAAAAATGAAATAAAGTGTTGCAAAGTGCAAAAATTCACCAGATATGGCTCCGTGTGACTTTTTCCTATTCCCAAAGTTGAAGAGACCCATGAAAGGACGGCGGTTTTCCTCGATTGAAGAAATAAAGGCCGAATCGCTGAGAGTGCTCAAGGACATATCAATCAAAAAGTGAATATCAAGGGTGCTTCGAAAATTGAAAAAAACGCTGGCATAAGTGTATTATATCTGGGGGGGACTACTTTGAAGGGGACCACATTAATGTAGACGAATAAATAAATATTTTTTTGAAAAAACGAAAATTCCGGGTACTTTTTGAACAGACCTCGTATATACATACACATTATCTTTTATCATTACCTTTCCAAGTCGTTCATCTTCTTATAACAAGCAGCAAGTTCGAGTTGTGTCTGCACCACCAAAGTCCTCCATCCTTCATCACTAAAAGCCCTTAGGGCATCATTTAAAAATACAATGGCCTTATTCATCTGTCCGATATCCGATGAAAATCTGGCGATATCTAAACCGATCAGCCGAGCGCTTCTAATGCGCCCTATGTGCTTGTAAGTACCCATTGCTAGTTCTGCTAATTCCTAGAAAAGAGGTAATGGAGTCAAAATTACTGCACGGAAGGGATGAACATTGTGCTTTAGGTGTGAAGTTGGGTGGGAATAATGGCGGTTAGGATTTGAATTTGAAATTTGTGAAAGTGTTTAGTAAGAGTGTATTTAAATGTGGAAAATATTAAGGTGATAAATATTTGGAGTTAAAGATAATTTAATGAAAAGGACTCTACTGACGAGAAAACTTAATTTTGATTTACAGAATAAAAAAATTTCTAAAAAAGTGTAATGGAATCAAAATTACTACATGGAAGAGTTGAACAATGTGCTTTAGGTGTGAAGTTGGGTGGGAATAATGGTGGTTAGGATTTGAATTTGAAATTTGTAGAAGTATTTAGTAATAGTGTATTTAAATGTGGAAAAATTCAAGATAATACAAATTTGGAGATAAAGATAATTTAACGAAAAGGATTCTACTGACGAGCAAACTAAAAAATAATTAAAATTAACTAAATATAAATAAGTTTATAGTAAATGAATTAAATAATAAATGAATAAGTAATAAAATAGTTAATAGTTAATTATTGACTTGAGCTTTATTATAATATTATTATACTGACGGCTTGTATAATAAATAAATAAGTAAATAAATTTAAATCTACAGAATAAAAAAAGGACTCTACTGACGAGCAAACTCAATTTTGATCTAAAAGATAATAAAAAAAATTAATGATATTGAATATTTGCAAATAAATTAAATATTTAAAGTTTTATAAAATATAGTAATAATATAAAATTACTTATTATTCAAAATTTTATATTTATAATTAAATGTACTATAACAAAATATTTGACTGTATCAAAATTACTGCACGTAAGTGGTGACAATATACTTACAAGGAGAACCCGCGCATTGCTCGTCTGGGATTTTGATGAAATTTGGCACAATGGTAGATTTCATGCCCAAACTGACTCTGGTAAAATATTAGAGGCCTATGAAAAGCGGTTTAATTATAAAAATTAATTAAAGTTTGCATTTAAGCAGCGCACTGTACACCATCGCTACACATAGCATGGAGCGTTCTTTCTTATCAGCGGGAGATTGTCCGAGTGGTAACGTCGGCGAATTGTAATTTTTGCGTCTATGGTCGAGAGTTCGAATCCGACTTAAGGTTTTTATTTTTTTTTACTATTTTCATTTCATATTTATAACTGCATGAGTTAATAAAATTAAAATTAATTCAAATTTTAAATTGATTTTATATTTTTCATTAAATTCTATAATAAAGTCCCCTGAAGTGATACCAGAAAAATTGATGTAAAACATAATTTCATATTAATAACAACAATAATAAGAGTGAAAAAAAAAATATTTCTTTGCATATAAACGCTAATATAAGTTCTACAATTGACTGGATGATACTTAACAATACAACAAACAAAAAAATAAATTTTCAGTGAGGACATTTCAAAAATTTAGGCAGTGTTGCATATAAGATTTTGCACTAGCGATGGTTTTCTTAAAAATTCTAATATTTGCCAATATGCTTGCAAACCAATCGTATTGGATCATCTTTTGAAAAATATACACAGATAACTGATGATTAATCAGAGAATGTATCTCGAATGTTTTTTTCTTTTTAGTTAATTGTTTTTCTTGTTGTCTGATTTGACAACAATTTTCTATTTTCTAAATAAACAACTTTACCAGTGTGGAGAAATAAGCTGCGAGCTATTTTTATGTTTATCTGGTTTTTGCGATAAGTATCATCCAGTCAATTGTAGAACTTATATTAGCGTTTATATGCAAAGAAATTATATTTTTTTTTCACTCTTATTAACTTCCCGAAGGAGAAGTTTATGTTTTCATAAAAAAATCCGATTCGCTAATTTTATGTTTTCTCGACGTTTCAAGCCATTCTGAATCGAATGAGACCAAATTGGAAAAAGTATGTGGGTGTGTGTGTGTGTGTGTGGTGTGTGTGTGTGTGTGCGTGTGCACCAACAGATTTTTGCCGTAAATCGCCGTTTCCTCAAAACGGCTGGACCGATTTCAAAAATTTAAAAGCCATTCGATGTATCTCGATGAGGACTATTGTTTGTCAGTTTTGTGCGACGATCGGCCAAACCGTTTCTTCGTAAATAGCAGAGAAGTGAAAACTCTTTCGTCCACGTTTTAGCCCGCAGTTATGAATCGATTTTGAAAATTCAAAAACCGTTCGATAGATATTGGTTGGGAATCGTGCTGATTAGTTTTTGGTAGAGATCGGCCGGGCCGTTTTCTTGTAATAAAGTTTTTAAAAAAAAAATTTCGACGATTTTTATGATTATTTTTTTGACGGTAGATACCATAGTCTTCTAGATCATACTAAAATATTACGGCCCTACGACAACTGGTTCAGCTTTAAAAATTCGTCAAAGTTTGCAAAAATCAGTATGGTCTTTTTGGCATTTGTCAAAATTAGACTTTTGATCGACGTTTTCTCAAAAACGCCTGAACCGATTTTAGAAATTTAAAAGCCATTTGATGTATTTCGGTGAGGACTATCGTTGTCAGTTTTGTGTGACGATCTGCCAAGCCGTTTCTTTGTAATTTGAAAAAAAGTGTTGAACTTTTCGTCCACATTTAAGCTCATCCTACCGAACCGATTTTGAAAAATCAAAAACTGTTCGAAAGATATCATTTGGAAATGATGCTGATTAATTTTAGGTGAAAATCTACCGAGCCGTTTTCTTGTAATTAACTGTTGAAAAAATGTGTTAAATTTTCGTCCACATTTAAGCTCATCCTACCGAACCGATTTTGAAAAATCAAAAACTGTTCGAAAGATATCATTTGGAAATGATGCTGATTAGTTTTAGGTGAAAATCTACCGAGCCGTTTTTCTTGTAATTAACTGTTGAAAAAAAGTGTTAAATTTTCGTCCACATTTAAGCTCATCCTACCGAACCGATTTTGAAAAATCAAAAACTGTTCGAAAGATATCATTTGGGAATGATGCTGATTAGTTTTAGGTGAAAATCTACCGAGCCGTTTTCTTGTAATTAAATGTTGAAAAAAAGTGTTAAATTTTCGTCCACATTCAAGCTCATCCTACCCAACCGATTTTGAAAAATCAAAAACTGTTCGAAAGATATCATTTGGGAATGATGCTGATTAATTTTAGGTGAAAATCTACCGAGCCGTTTTCTTGTAATTAAATGTTGAAAAAATGTGTTAAATTTTCGTCCACATTTAAGCTCATCCTACCGAACCGATTTTGAAAAATCAAAAACTGTTCGAAAGATATCATTTGGGAATGATGCTGATTAATTTTAGGTGAAAATCTACCGAGCCGTTTTCTTGTAATTAAATGTTGAAAAAATGTGTTAAATTTTCGTCCACATTTAAGCTCATCCTACCGAACCGATTTTGAAAAATCAAAACTGTTCGAAAGATATCATTTGGGAATGATGCTGATTAATTTTAGGTGAAAATCTACCGAGCCGTTTTCTTGTAATTAAATGTTGAAAAAATGTGTTAAATTTTCGTCCACATTTAAGCTCATCCTACCGACCGATTTTGAAAAATCAAAAACTGTTCGAAAGATATCATTTGGGAATGATGCTGATTTAATTTTAGGTGAAAATCTACCGAGCCGTTTTCTTGTAATTAAATGTTGAAAAAATGTGTTAAATTTTCGTCCACATTTAAGCTCATCCTACCGAACCGATTTTGAAAAATCAAAAACTGTTCGAAGATATCATTTGGGAATGATGCTGATTAATTTTAGGTGAAAATCTACCGAGCCGTTTTCTTGTAATTAAATGTTGAAAAAAAGTGTTAAATTTTCGTCCACATTCAAGCTCATCCTACCCAACCGATTTTGAAAAATCAAAAACTGTTCGAAAGATATCATTTGGGAATGATGCTGATTAATTTTAGGTGAAAATCTACCGAGCCGTTTTCTTGTAATTAAATGTTGAAAAAATGTGTTAAATTTCGTCCACATTTAAGCTCATCCTACCGAACCGATTTTGAAAAATCAAAAACTGTTCGAAAGATATCATTGGGAATGATGCTGATTAATTTTAGGTAAAAATCTACCGAGCCGTTTTCTTGTAATTAACTGTTAAAAAAAAATTTAAGTCTTTTTCATGGAACTTTTTTGGCGATATACATCATGGTCTTATAGAACTTACTGTAATATTACAGCATTACGACAAGTAGTTTAATTTTAAAATTCGTCAAACTTTGCTAAAATTATTATCGTTTTTTTTTTTAAAAGTAGGATTGATGAAGTATATTATTTACACATTTTTTTGATCCAGTCGATTATTTACACATATCGGAAGTTCATGTAATTGCCTCAAGGCTAAATATCAAACCAACTAGTTATTGTTGTTATTAATATGAAATTATAATGTTTTACATCAATTTTTTGGTATCACATCAAATTTATATACACGTAAATGGGGACTTTATTATAGAATTTAATGAAAAATATAAAATCAATTTAAAATTTGAATTAATTTTAATTTTAATAACTCATGCAGTTATAAATATGAAATGAAAATAGTAAAAAAAAATAAAAACCTTAAGTCGGATTCGAACTCTCGACCATAGACGCAAAAATTACAATTCGCCGACGTTACCACTCGGACAATCTCCCGCTGATAAGAAAGAACGCTCCATGCTATGTGTAGCGATGGTGTACAGTGCGCTGCTTAAATGCAAACTTTAATTAATTTTTATAATTAAACCGCTTTTCATAGGCCTCTAATATTTTACCAGAGTCAGTTTGGGCATGAAATCTACCATTGTGCCAAATTTCATCAAAATCCCAGACGAGCAATGCGCGGGTTCTCCTTGTTAGAGTGTGAAGTTCGTTCGAGTTTGATGATGAGATAACCGTTAGGATTTGAAAATCAAATTTCAAATATATTCAATAAAAATACTATTTAAACGTTTATACATTATTTGTTAAGTTAAATGTTAAGTAAAGTGCATGTTTAATTTGCTCGTAGGTAGAGTCCCTTTTTTGCGTTTTAGTTTGTTAGTTTGTATTTTAATTTGCTCGTCAGTAGAGTCCTCTTTTTGTCTTTTAGTTTGTAATTTAATTTGCTCGTCTAGAGTCCCTTTTTAGATTTTTAGTTTGTAATTTAATTTGCTCGTCAGTAGAGTCCCTTTTTATGTTTTGGTTTGTATTTTAATTTGCTCATTAGTAGAGTCCCTTTCTAGTTTTTTAGTTTGAAATTTAATTTGCTCATTAGTAGAGTCCCTTTTTAGATTTTTAGTTTATAATTTAATTAGCTCGTCAGTAGAGTCCCTTTTTGTCTTTTTGTTTATAATTTAATTTGCTCATCGGAAGAGTCCCTTTTTAATCTTTGTGTTTGTAATTTAAATTTGCTCGTCAGTAGAGTCCCTTTTTAATCTTTTTCTTTGCAATTTACTTTGCTCGTCAGTAGAGTCCATCCTTGGTCTTATCGATCAAATAAATTAAATTATTAAATATATAAATCAAAATATCAATTTGATGATATATCATTAAAATAAAATTTCAAAAAGGGACTCTACTGACGAGCAAACTGAATATCGAATTGAAAAATTAGAAAAAGAACTCTACTAACGAGCAAACTAGAAGTAAAAGCCAGCAGGACTCTAATGATGATATCAAAAGAAAAAAACACCCTACAAATGAGCAAGGTAAAAATAAAAGGCAAAAAGGACTCTACTGACGAGCAAACTAAAATTAAATGGAGAAATTAACTCTACTGACGAGAAAAGTAAAAGGAAAATGAACTTTACTGGCGAGCAAACTAAACATAAAAATTATTTTTGTGTTCTGAGTTTGTAAAAAATACAGTAAAAAAATTTGCTTGCGAAGAAATTTTATAAATAAATATAAAATCGAGCAAATCAGATCAAAAGAGACTCTACTGACGAGCAAACTAAGCAGTAACGTAAATTTATCATCGAATTGAGATTTAATAATAGAAAATATGTTCTAATACTTATATATTGTTATATATCATTAGAAAGCTAATAAAATTATCTACAAATCTGTATATAACAATTTGTATATTTTGGAACAAAATTATGTTAATAAAATATTTATACTTGAATATCGAATACTGACGCCATTTTGGGTAAATTAGTATGTCTGCCACTTACATTTTTTATAATTATATGAATTTTGTTAATAAATTGTTAAAACGTAAATATAGTATTATATATCATTAGAAAGCTAATAAAATTATCTACAAATCTGTATATAACAATTTATAACTCTTAGAACAAAATTATAGTTAAAAACGTGTTTATTCATAATTGAATAACAAACCGATTTGAAACAAAATTACTGCACATAAAAGCTGAACGTTATACTTCGAGTATGAAGTTCGCGCGTTTGAAGTAACCGTTAAGATTTAAAATTCAAATTTCAAATATATTTAGAAAAACATAGTTCTAACTTTACCAAATAATGTCTCTGAAAGGCATCATTCGAACTCAAAGCCTCCTTCAGCTTATCAGTCGGCGACGGCTGCTGCTTCGTACCAGGACAATCACCCATTCCTGCTGACAGATTGACGACGGCATGAAGTTGCGTTGAAGTAGGACTGCAACCCGGCATCAGGCCGCAGAGTTTACCCAGAGATTTCAACTAAAATTGTAAAAAATATTAAAATTAAAAAAATATACTAGTAACGTATTATAATTAATATTTGAGATAATTAGTATTGATTTCAGAATAATTTCCAAGAAAAATATAAAAGGTCAAGTGTGAAACAAGCTTTACGTCGCTAAAGCGTGTCTCACACTCAACCGGCTTCATATGAAGTTATACACGAGGCTCATATACAAAATGTCAAGTGTGAGTGCGGCTTTAAGCTAAAGCGTGCTTTACACTGTGCAATTTGAATACAACAAAAAATCAACGAAAAATCGAAAAGTAGTACTCCAAAACATAAAGTTTTCAAGTTATTTCAAACAACTAAAAATAGAACTCTACTGACAAGCAAAGTGATTATAATAAGCACAAAAAAAGTATTATACTTACAAAAAACAAAAGATATTAAATTGTTAGGAAATAAAGAAAGGATTCTACTGACAAACAAGTTTAATATCGATCCAAAAAATTAAAAGTGGACTATACTAACGATAAACCCAATTTTTTCACTGGTTCTAACTACTAGTACTAGTAACTAGTAGACTCTACTGGCAAATAAATGTGATATCAATCTAGAAGATAAAAGGGACTCTACTGACAATCAAATAATCTGAAGAATTGACGATTCAATCAAGTACAATCATCTTTTACATTTTAATATGTTAAATATCAGTTTGCTTGTCAGTAGAGTCCACTTTTAATCTTTTGGATCAATATTTTGTTTGTTATATTTTTCTGGTCCATGATATTTTTTTTGATTAACTCGTCAGTAGAGTCCTCTAAATATATTTTAAGCAATTAATTTTTTTATGTTTTATATAATTTGCTCGTCAGTAGAGTCCTTTTTAACTTCCCATAGGGTGAGTTATTGCAATCGTCCAAAAATCGAAATTGAAAATGATTACATTTCTCGACGTTTCGAAGGTTTCTGAACATTTTTAAGGGACATACCTCAGAAACTAAATGGATGTGTTTGTGTGTATGTATCGTATGTATAGATACAATTTTTCAGTCACGTTTTCGGGCGCACGGATCAACCGATTTGTATGGTTTAAAAAACATTCGATTCCTATTGATAGGCAGATGTGCTGATAAATTTTTGGCAAAGGTAGGCCCAGCGGTTACGGAGACACAGGGCTAAATGTTAAAAAAATTTAAAAGTTTTGAGTGAACTAAGCGTCCGATTTAAATGATCCAAAGAACTTTCTGCTTGTTTCAACAAAATAATTGCTTTTGGAAAAAAAAATTTTGTTTCGAATTTTCTTTTCCATAAAGTATTTTTGTAATTTTGGATTAAAAATTCAAATAATCACCCAGGCTAAGCACAGTCTAAGCGCCACTTTGGTACCAATGTTTACCCGAGTGCGTTTAGACTGTTAATACACTGGAGCACTTTTCCAATTTTGTTAAAACTATTGAATGAAAATGTGAGATTGCTGCCAAGCTAAGCACAGTATAAGTGAAAATGTCGCACAGAATTATTTGCAAATGCGTTTAGACTGCGACTATACGGGAGCACTTTTTCAATTTTGTGTAAATTAGGCAACTATTTTTTTTTTTGAAATTGAATTCGAAATGAAATGACGATTGTTAATGCTCTGGAGATAAATTGATTTATTTAATAGATTCACATTAATTTGCTCAGATATAACAAACAAGATAGCAAAAATAATGAAAGTTACAGTATTTGTTATTAACGTTTAAAATTTCTCGAACATTTCATTACGGTACGGAAAGTTCCAGCAACTTGCCTCAAGGCACGATGCCATACACCACTAGTTCATTTATTTATTTATTTATTTATTACCTTATCGCTAGCATAAGCCCACAAATCAGCCGTGTACAAAGAATACTGCTCCACGTGACCGCTGTTATTAAATCTTTCGCAAGTGTGCAGAACTTCCAGGCAGCATAAGAAGACCCAGCAGGCTGCTGCGCCTTCTGGAGCAGAATCTGCAATATCTAATAACTCGAGTTCTCGAACAGTATTGTGGAGGAATGGTAGAGATCTCTGAGCAATCTGGATAAAAGATAAGAGAAATAATTAGTTATTGATTTAAACTAGGTGTAAGTGGTATTCTGTCTTTTGAGTATGATTTTTAGATAGTGCTCGTCGAGACCTTTCATTTGATACCCCACATGCCTATATTTGAAGTAAAACTTATTTACTTATGTCTTAAACAAAATTCGGCAACCCATTGGTCCACTTTCGTTACATCTCTTGTAACTTTTGAACCGTTAGTCCGAATTAAGTGGAATATTCGGCAAAGATGTTTTAAATTGAATTATATATAATTTGTAAAAGTCTACGGCAACTCGGTATACTCTAAAATAGCAAAACCATAACATTATATAATTTGTACGGAACCCTATTGGTTTGTCAAGTCTGTTACAAAGATACTTGTCTAGTGTTCGTCGAAACCTTTCATTTGATACCCAACATGCCTATATTTGAAGTAACAAACAGTTCTGCAACCCATTGGTCTACTTTTTATTAAATCTCTTGTAACTTTTAAACCGTTCGACCAAATTGCTAAGACCAGAGACAAATATTAGTGGAAAATGTTAAAAGAAAAAAAGAGAACTCTACTAAGAAGGAAATTAAGAAATTATTTGTAAATTGTCTCTCGAACAGTATTGTGGAGGAATGGTAGAGATCTCTGAGCAATCTGGATAAAAGATTTATATAGTTAGTTGTTGATTTAAACTAGGTGTAAGTGGTATTCTGTCTTAAGATTTATGTTAAATTATGTTTGGATATGATTTTTGAATAGTGATTGTCGAGACCTTTCATTTGATACCCCACATGCCTATATTTGAAGTAAAACTTCTTAACTCATATTTGACCCGCTGTACTATTTATATTGTTTGTGTATTTATTATTTTATTGCTTGTAACTTTTGAACTATTCATCGTAGACTTAAAACTTTCTGAGTCTGTCCTCGGGTTCTGCAACTCAATGGTCGACTTCTGTTACATCTCTTGTAACTTTTGAACGGTTTGTCCGATTTGAATAAAATATTCGGCAAAGTTGTGTTAAATTGTATGAGGTATAAGATTGTTTAATATGCTGAAGCCGTTTAGTAACTAGTTATATATGTTTGTGTATCTATTTTGGTTTGTTGTAAAAGTTACTATGATATATGAATAGAGCTCTTCGAGACCTTTCATTTGATACCCCAAATGCCATATGTGACGTCACAACATCTTGACCCGCTGTACTATTTATAGTTTGGCAACCCATTGGTCCACATTTTATTATATATCTTTTAACAATAATTATATTAATTTTATTTATATTTATATCAAGAACGTTTTAAAAAAGAACTCTACTGACGAGCAAATTAAATTTGGATATTTGAAAAAAGATTAGGAAAGAAGGGACTCTACTGACAAGGAAATTCATCTTGTTTTTGGCATTTTATTTTGGCAGAAATATTGGAATAATATTATGAAAAGAGACTCTACTGACGAGCAAAATTCAATTTAAGGTGATAATGTAACTGCAAATGTTCAGACAAAAAGTTTTTTCATCTAAACATGAAACTACTCTACTGACGAGCAAATGACAGAAAGTGTTGAATCAAAAAAGATTCTTTTCTAAATTCGGATTTGACAAAAGGTTAAAGAATGTTACAAAATAAGGGACTCTACTGCCAAGCAAAATGAATTTAACTAAAAAATTGTTAAAAATGTTCAGGAAAAGGACTCAACTGACAAGCAAACTAAACTAGGACTACATTAAAAGATAGTTTGGAAAAGTTTTTGATATTTTAAAGTATACAAATTTTCTGTAACGTTTCTATACCAGACAATATTAAAACAGTTATCTAACAATGTGAGATAAAACTTTTTACTTCAAATATAGGCATGTGGGGTATCAAATGAGAGGTCTCAATAAGCACTATCTAAATATCATATTTACAACCTTTGAAACTATTGTACAAGTTATATAATCATTTTATATAATATTTACTAACAAACAAGTTTTTAAAAATAGCTATTTTATTTAAAAAAAGACTCTACTGATTAGCAAATTAAACTTGACAAAACATATTGAAAAAGCTTAGGAAAAGAAGATTTTATTAATTTCAGAGAACCATATTGCTTTGTTTGGGCCATCATTATTTTATTTTTATAGTACTCGTTGAGACCTTTCATGTGATACCCTACATGCCTATATTTGACGTCATAGCATTTTGATTCACTGTAGAGCAACCCATTGGTCCACCTTTTATTATATCTCTTGTAACTTTTGAACCGTTTGTCTAAACTAACTAGAATATTAGAAAAATTTATTCTTAACTAACGATCTATTATTTCTTATAATATATTAGAACTCCACAGCTACTTGGTATACTTTAAAATTGCAAAACAGATAGTAAAAATCAGATAAGATAGTGAAAAGTGAAAAGATGATTTGTACGGAACTCTATTAGTTTGTTTAAGAGGTCACTATTATATCTGTATAGTGCTCGTCGAGACCTTTCATTTGATACCCCACATGCCTGTATTTGAAGTAAAACTTCTTAACTCACATTTGACCCGCTGTACTATTTATAGTACGACCACTCGTCAGTGTGCATTTATTTATTAAAACTCGTGTGTCTGCCGGTTACATTTTTTATATTCCGTCAAATTTCTCTAACGATTTGTTCTAACATATATATATTATTATATATTATTAGAAAGCTAATAAAATTATCTATAAATCTGTATATAATATTTCGTAACTTTTGATACAAAATTATATTAAAAAAAAATCTTAAATTTTGTAATTGAACACCAAGTCCGCTGGTTACATTTTTCCATATTCCGATAAATTTCTTCAACACTTTGTTCCAACATGTATATACTATTATACACGATTAGAAAGCTAATAAAATTACCTACATATCTGCATACAACACTTCAAAACTTTTCAAACAAAATCATTAACCAAAAATCATTTATCATCCTCACCTCCCAAGGTTTGAGTGTCAATAACAACATAGCGCACTGTCTCTGGAACAAATAGCTCCGAAATTCCAGCAAAGAAGCCTCGCAGGTTGCAATCAGGTCTCGTTCCTGCTGATTGGCCGAAGGAGACAACCTGATGCCCTTCCAGGCTTGTAAGGGCCTCTGAAAACTGGCCAACCAGGCTGGCCCATTCGAAATGTGCGAATTCAGGACGAACTGGGTGAAGAGGGCATCGAGTTCGTCGTATTGGACGAGGGCGTCTTCGTAAAGACCCAGCATTTCGAAAACGAAGGCCAACTCTTCCTGGAAAAAGATAATAAAAGATGGTTTTGAAATATGTGCAGTTGTAGATGATTTTATTAGCTTTCTAATGATATGTAATAATGTATGTGTGTTTGAATAAGATGTTAATGAAATTTGTCGGAATATGAAAAGATGTAACCGGCAGACATGTTGGTTTATCAAAATAAGGTCGCGCGACTCAGTATTCAATTGTAAAGTTTAAACATTTTTTTTCATTTAATTTTGTTTCAGACGTTTTAAATTATTATATACAGATTTGTAGATAATTTTATTACCCTTCTAATAATATATAATAATATAAACAAGTTGGAACAAATTGTTAAAAAAATTTGTCGGAATATGAAAAAATGTAACCGGCAAACATATTGGTTTACCAAAATGAGGTCGCGCGACTCAGTATTCAATTCTAAAAGTTTAAACAATTTTTTTACACGACTTTTATTGTTAAAGTTACAAATTGTTATATACAGGTTTTTAGATAATTTTATTAGCTTCATAATGATATATAATAATAATAATTGATTTAATTAAATTTAAACAATATTTATAAAAATATAAAAAAATGTTACCGAATAAAACAGAAATTAACTCTGCACTATAAATCGCAGAGTTATTTGAAAAAATTACATTACTGCTTAGATTGTTCGACAGTAGAGCCCCTTTTTTTTATTCTTAGTTTACTCGTCAGTAGAGTCTCTTCTAATTTTTTTAGGTTGCTCCTCGATAGAATCCCTTTTTAAATTTGCTTGGCAGTAGTGTCTTCTTTTTTAGTTTTTTCGTCAGTGATTTTTTGTCAAAAAAGTCCTTTTTCTTATTTATTCTAGTTTTGCTCGTTAGTAAAGTCCCTGTTTCCTTTTAATTTTTAGTTTGCTCGTCAGAAGAGTCTTTTTTTCTTTTAATTATAATTTTGTTCGTCAGTAGAGTCCCTGTTTCTTATTATTCTAGTTTTATTCGTCAGTAAAGTCCCTGTTTCCTTTTAATTCTAGTTTTGATCATCAGTAGAGTCCCTGGTTTTCTTAACTTGAAATTTGTTTGACAGTAGTCCTTTTTTCATTTTATTTTTAGTTTGCTCGTCAGTGAAATCCCTGTTTTCCTTAAGTTGAGGTTTGCTCGTCAGTAGAGTCCCCTTATCTTTTAAGTCTAGTTTGTTCGTCATTACAGTTCCTTTTTTATATTTTTAGTTTAGCTCGTACGCAGAGACCCTTTTAGACTCTACTGACCAACAAATTAAACTTAAACTATAATTAAATGTCAGTATAAAAATGCTCAGAATCAGACAAAAGGGACACTACTGAGGAGCAAGCTAAAACTCACACTAATAAAAACAGCGTTTTTATTAATTTTATTTCTCATGTTCAAATTCGGTTTGTCCATAAGTAGAGTCCCTTTCTAATAAAAATATTTCGTCAATTGAGAAAAAAAGATTATTTTGCTCGTCAGCAGGGTCCCTTTTAGTTTACACTCGTGAGTAGAGTCCCTTTTTTTTAATTTCTTAGTGAAATTTAATTCAGAAGATGTTTTTCGTCAAGTGTGAGTTTTAGCTTGCTCGTCAGTAGTTAGTGACCCTCTTGTCTAAGCAATTTTTACTGACATTTACTTCTAGTTCAAGTTTAATTTGTTGGTCAGTAGAGTCTAAAAATCGAACTGCGAAAAAAGGGACTCTACTGACGAGCTAACTAAAATTATGAGGAAAAAGGTCTTTACTGACAAGCAAACTAAATATAGAAGAAGAAGGATTCTACTGACGAGCAAACTAAAAACAAAATTAGAAAAAGAGACTCTACTGACAAGCAAACTAAAAACTAAATTTAAAAAAAGCCTATTGACGAGCAAACTAAAAGAAATTTAAGACTACTGACGAGCATATTAATTTAAAAAAACTATATTTAGTAACATATTGTTTAAACGTGTATATATTATTATATATCACAGCAAAGCTAATAAAATTATCTATAAATCTGTATATAACAATTTAAAACGTTCGAAACAAAATTATAGTAAAAAAATTGTTTAAACTTTATAATTGAATAACAAAGCGAGTTGAAACAAAATTACTGCACGTAAGGGTTGAACAAAATACTTCGAGTGTGAAGTTCGCGCGCTTGCAGCAACCGTTAGGATTCAAAACTCAAATTTCAAATTTATTTAATAAAAATATTGTTTATAGGTGTATTATATATCATTAGAAAGCTAATAAAATTATCTACAAATCTGTACATAAAAAAATTGTCATTTATTACCTGTAACAAAAAATACTGACAAAAATTCCACCCATTATCTTCTTTCATTCTTTTTGTTATTAGTTTGCTCATCAGTAGTCGTTTTAATTTTATTTTTAGTGGACAGTAGAGTCCTTTTTTTAATTTTCTTTTCAGTTTGCTCGTTAGTATAGTCCCTTTTTAGTTTTGTTTGAAGTTTGCTTGTCAGTAGAATCCTTTTTACATTTCCTAGTCAATTTTTATTTTGTTAGTAGAGTCCCTTTTCTAGTTTTCTAATCATTTTTTATTTTGCTCGCCAGTAGAGTCTCTTTTTAATTTTCTAGTCCATTTTTATTTTGCTCGTCAGTATAGTACCTTTTTTAATTCTCTAGTCAATTTTAGTCAGTAGAGTCAGTAGAGTCCTTTTGTAATTTTCATAATTTTCCTAGTCAACTTTTATTTTGCTCGTCAGTAGAGTACCTTTTTTAATATTGTTTCTAATTTGCTCGTCAGTAGAATACCTTTTAAATTTTCTCATCCATTTTTATTTTGTTCGTCAGTAGAGTCCCTTATTAAATTTGTTTTAAGTTTGTACGTCTGTAGAGTCCTTTTTAATTTTTTAATAATATTTAGTTTGCTCGTAAGTAGTCCTTTTATGATTGTTTAATAACTTTTAGGCTGTTCGTCAGTACAGTACCTTTTTAATTTTATAGTCAATTTTTAAGATGCTCGTCAGTACAGTACTTTCTTCTTATTCTATTTAGTTTGCTCGTCAGTAGAGTCTTTTTTTAATTTTCTAATCAATTTTTACCTTGCTCGTCAGTACAATGAGTATCTTTTTTTAATTACCTAGTCAACTTTGAGGTTGCTCTTCAGTAGAGTCCTTCTTAAATTTTCTAAAATATTTTTATTTGGCTCGTCAGTAGAGTCCTTTTTAAGTTTCCTAGTCAGTTTTTATTTTGCACGTCAGTAGAGTAAATAAAATTATCTACCAATCTGTATATAACGATTTAAAACTTTTGGAACAAAATAATATAAAAAAAAATGTTTAAACTTTATAATTGAATAACAAAGCGAGTTGAAACAAAATTACTGCACGTAAGGGTTGGACAAAATACTTTAGGTGTGAAGTTCGCGCGTGTGCAACGACCGTTAAAATTTAAAATTCAAATTTCAAATAGATTTAGCAAATATGTTATTGAAATAAGTATATATTGTTATATATCATTAGAAAGCTAATAAAATTATCTACAAATCTGTATATAAAACAAATAACATTTCTCACCTGTAACAAAAAATACTGGCAAAAATTCCACCCATTCTCGTTCTTTTAAAAATATTATTTAAACGTGTATATATTATTATATATCACTTAAAAGCTAATAAATCTATTTCTAAACATTTTTAATAAAAAAATTGTTTATATTTTAAAAGTGATGATTTAGTTGCTTGTAATTACAAAGAGTTGATTTTCTATTCGGTGACTTTTTTTCATATTTACGTTTATATTGTTTAAATTTGTTCCAACACCTATATATTATATATCATTAGAAAGATGAAGAAATTATCTACAAATCTGTATACAACAATTTAAAACTCTTAGAACAAAATTATAGTAAAGAAAATGTTTAAACTTTATAATTGAATAGCAAACCGAGTTGAAACAAAATTACTGCACGTAAATGCTGAACAAAATACTTTGAGTGTGAAGTTCGCGCGTTTGTAACGACCGTTAAGATTCAAAATTCAAATTTCAAATTTATTTAATAAAAATATTGTTAATAAGTGTATTATATATCATTAGAAAGCTAATAAAATTATCCACAAATCTGTACATAAAAAAATTGTCATTTATTACCTGTAACAAAAAATACTGACAAAAATTCCACCCATTCTCGTTCCTCCGTTCCCTCTGCTCTCGAATATACTCCTCAAACTTCATAATACTCCTATTATACCCAGTTAACATCAAATGCCTTATCCTTATTAACAATCCTCTCCAGGAATCCGCCGATTTGATCTCCGATTTTAAAGGATTGATGACAGATAAAAATCTGTCGCCATTTTTAGTAGCAAAATCGTTCCTCAATTTGTCCAGGACGGTAGTCCTGGGCAGGAGTTTGTTACTTTTCCTTAAATCGTAATTTTCTACCAGGACTATCATCCAGTCCTGGATGTTTCGGGAATGGAGTTGTTTTAGCCATTGGTCTATGTCGTCTTTGGTGGTCGTTTTGTAGGTTTCTACATCCTGGGGAAAAGAAATAAATAAAATGAATAATTTTGTTTATATTTATTTAGGGTGGTCCTTGATTAGGATGTTAAGGATTTTTTTGGCTCCCAAGGGCTCAAATGTTTCCAAATTGGTAAAAGAAAATGCTGTAAAAGTTTTGGCTCTAAATATTATCATTTAGATAGTCCGCAATTCAATTAAGTTTCGTATATTCATTATTAATATAAATTCTTGCGCCATCTGTGATAACAGTCTTGTAATTTTGATGACAATTTATTACTAATAATATGAGCGTCAAAATCACCAAGTAAATAAATATTTAGCTGTAAAATTAATTTTGATGCCATGATTAATAAATATTTTGTTTTTCACAAGGATTTAATTAAAGATTAAATGATTTATGAATATTTTTAAGTGTCATAATATGTGAGTTCACAAATGCTATCACAGATGGCGCAAGAATGTACTTAATATTGAATTGCGGACTATCTCAATGTTAATATTAAGAGCTGAATCTTTTAGACGTTTTTGTTTTGTTAATTTAGAAGCATTTGAGCCCTTGGGAGAAAAGAAATTCGAAAATGTCCATATTAAGGACCACCCTAATGTATATGCATAAATAATAAATAATAAATGTAGCTGGATGAAACAACCTTCGGCGAAACGTCCCTTGAATAATGTATTTTGTATTGTGTATATGTGTTTTGTCGATTTCCATTTTCTATACAATTTTCAGTTTACTCGTTAGTAGATTCCTTTTTTAATTTTCTAATCAATTTTAAGTTTGCTCGTCAGTATAGTTCTTTTTTAATAATCTACTCAATTTTTATTATACTCGTGAGTAGAGTCCTTTTTCAATTTCCTAGTCAATTTTTAGTCGTCAGTAGAGTCATCTTAATTTTCTAGTCTGTAGAAAGCTTTTTTAATTTTCTAGACAATTGTTAGTTTGGTCGTCAGTAGTGTCTTTTTTTTAATTTTATATGCAATTTTATTTTGCTCGCTAGACGAATCCGTTTTAAATTTTTATCTTGCTCGCTAGTAAAGTCCTTTTTTAATTTCCTAAAGTCAATTTTTAGTTTGCTCGTCAGTAGAGTCCTTTTTTAAATTTCCTAGTTAAATTTTACTTTGCCCATAAGTAGAGTCCTATTTTAATTTTCTAGTCCATTTGTGTTTTGATCGCCAGTAGAGTCCCTTTTTAATTATCTAGTCTATTTTTACGCCAGTAGACTACTTTTTTAAATATTCGAGTCAATTTTTACTTTGCTAGTCAGTAGAGTCCTTTTTTGATTGTTTAATAAATTTTTAGGTTGTTCGTCAATACAGGCCCTTTTTAATGTTATAGTCAATTTTTAAGTTGCTCGTTAGTAGAGTCCTTTTTAATTTTATAGTCCATTTTACGCCAGTAGAGTCCTTTTTTAAATTATCTAGTTCATTATTGTTTCAGTAAAGTCCATTTTAAAAAATTTCTAGTCGATTTTCAATTTGCTCGTCAGTATAGTCTTTTCTTAATTTTCTAATAAATTTTTACTTCGCTCGTCAGTAGAGTCATTTTTTAAATATTCGAGTCAATTTTTAGTTTGCTCGACAGTATAGTCCTTTTTTAAATATTCGAGTCCATTTTATGCCAATTGAATCCTTTTTTAAATTACCTAGTCCCTTTTCAGTTTGCTCGTCAGTAGAGACCCTTTTGTCAATTAACATCAAAACATAGTTTGCTCGTCAGTAAAGTCCATTTAACTCTTATTACAGTTTATTCGTCAGTAATGTCCTTTTTCTTTTCTTAAAATCACAAATTAGTTTGCTTATCATATTTTTAGTCTGCTCGTCAGTAGAGTCCCTTTTCTAGCCATATTTTTAGTCTGCTGGTCAATAGAGACCCCTTTTTAAATTTGTTTTCAGGTTGCTCGTCAGTAGAGTCCCTTTTTTAACCTTACTTTCAGTTCGCTCGTCAGTAGAACCCCTTTTTTCACCTTATTTTTAGTATGCTGGTCAGTAGAGTTCATCTTTTAATTTTATTTTTAGTTTGCTGGTCAGTAGAGTCCCTTTTTTAACCTTATTTTTAGTCTGCTGGTCAGTAGAGTCCCTTTTCTAACCTTATTTTTAAGTCTGCTGGTCAGTAGAGACTCATTTTAAAGTTTGTTTTTAGTTTGCTCGTCACTAGAGTCCTTTTCGTCTTAAATTTCATT